TGTTGCACCTGAGATACTGTGACCTGACTCCCGCCAGCTGTGGCATGTGCAGGCTGGTGTGGCCGACAGGTGGTCACCGTGTCGGGGTATTATAATTGATATCAAAACGGATCACCTGAAGATTATTTCCTTAGTTTATTTCACCTGATATTTAACCACCTTAACACTAACCTAACCTAACCTAACTAACCTAACCACTAACACTAACCTAACCTGACTAACCTAACCTAACTAACCTAACCACCTTAACACTAACCTAACCTGACCTGACGTAACATAACCTGACCTGACCTAACACACGATCTTGTTCAGCAATGCGTACATACTCTTAAACTGTATATACTTGATACAGGCAGATCATACAAACAAACCTTAGGGGATGGGGTAGTCTGACATACCCAGTAGTGTTGAGAGGGAGACAGGTGTTATGGTCAACAACAACAACAGTGCCCTTATAGTGTTACCTGTACCTGTCTTATCTGGTTCTCTTCTGCCACTGACAGTCATTGCAGTAATCTGAGGGAAACTAATACACCAGTCACGTCCACCACTACCCATACCACAACTACCACTACTTCCATAATCATGACGACCACCACCTCAACCACTATCACAGTCACCTCTGCCAGCACCCCCTCCACCACCACCACCACCACCCCAACCACCACTACCACCACAGTCACCTCTGCCAACCCCCTCCACTACCGCCACCACCATCCCGGACCTCCCCAGGGTGGCGGGTCAAAATGTAGGACTCCCGTAGTGTGAAAACCAGAAAGTTGAGCTTGAGAGGCCGGGGTTGAGTGAGTAGTGACCTGCCTGAAGCACCTCGTGAGGGACGTGCCAGTAGAAGGGGTGGGAGGGGGTCGTGGGTCGTGCTGGTGAGGTGCTGGGAGGTCGTGGGTCGTGCTGGTGAGGGTGCTGAGGAGGTCGTGGGGTCGTGCTGGTGAGGGGTGCTTGAGGAGGGTCGTGGGTCGTGTGGTGAGGGTGCTTGAGGGAGGGGTCGTGGGGTCGTGCTGGTGAGGGTGCTTGAGGGGGGAATGTTCAATTTTCTTTTCCCCTTTCCTCTTCTTTTCTTCCTTTCCTCCTCCTCTTTCATCTTCTTCCTCCCGTTCCCCTCCTTCCTCTTCTCCATCCTCCTCTTCCCCTCTCTCCTCCTTTTCGCCCTCCACCTCCTCTTCCCTCCCATCCTCTTCTTCCTCCACCTCCTCTTCCCCTCCTCCTCTTTCCCGTCCTCCTTCTCTTCCCTCCCACTCTCTTCGCCCTCCACCTCCTCTTCCCCTCCCCTTTTCTCCCCTCCTCCTTTTCCCGTCCCTCCTTCTCCTCCCCCCTCCCTTCTCTTCCCTCTCCCTCCTCCTCCCCTCCCATCTCCTCTTCGCCCTCCTCCTCCTCTTCACCCTCCCTCCTCTTTCCCGTCCCTCCTTCTCTTCCCCCTCCCATCTCCTCTTCGCCTCCCTCCTTCTCTTCGCCCTCCCTCCTTCTCTTCCCCTCCCACTCCTCTTCGCCCTCCCTCCTTCTCTTCCTCCATCTCTTCGCCCTCCTCCTTCTCTTCGCCCTCCCTCCTTCTCTTCCCCTCCCACCTCCTCTTCGCCCTCCCTCCCTTCTCTTCCCCCTCCCATCTCCTCTTCCCCTCCCCTCCTTCTCTTCGCCCTCCCTCCTTCTCTTCCCCTCCCTTCTCTTATCCCTCCCTCCTCTTCCCCCCTCCCTTCTCTCCCCCTCCTTCTCTTCCCTCCCCCTCCCTTCTCTTCCCTCCCTCCTTCTCTTCCCCTCCCTTGCATCTTTACTTACAAGGAGATAATATTCTTTATACAGACTTAGAAAATCTGGACTCCGTAAATTTACGTTTTAGACAACACCTGTTAATTAATTGGGAATAATTAACAGGACCCCAGATTAATTTTGTAGTTTGATGAGGGAGAGTTATTAATTATGGGATGGGTATACGAGTTTCTGAGTAACTGAGAGTGAATGAAGGAATGAATGCGTGTAGTGAGTGAATGAATGAAGGTGTGTAGTGACAGTGAAGGAATGAGTGAAGGTGTGTAGTGAAGGAGGTGAATGAGTGAATGAATGAAGGTGTGTAATGAGGGAGGTGAATGAATGAAGGTGTGTAGTGAGGGAGGTGAATGAGTGAATGAATGAAGGTGAGTAGTGAGTGAATGAATGAATTAATAAAGGTATATAACTGAGTAAATAAACGAAGACTAGTTAACTGAGAATGAATGAACTAGTCTAAGTTAAGAGTGAACAAGAGTCAATTGGATTGTTAGGGTGGATTAACTAGCAAGATATTTAGTTGTTAGAGGAGGTTAATGAGCTCTTGGTTGTTAGAGTCAAGTAACAAGTTCTCGGGTTGTTAGAGTTAAGTAACAAGTTCTCGGGTTGTTAGAGTCAAGTAACAAGTTCTCGGGTTGCTAGAGTGAGTTAACAAGGCCTTGGGTCGTTAAGGAATAGATATACAAGAGTGAGTTCATTTAGGGACTGGGTTACCGGGGGTTTGTGGTAGTTGTGGCGGGGGTCGTGGCGGGGGTCCAGGACGTGGTGGTGAGGTACTGTTCTCCTTTCCTCTGCCCCTCCCCCTCTCTCTCTCTTTTTCTCTCCATCTCTACCCCTCTTTTACCTCACATCTCCCCTTTCCCTTCTTCCTCCCCATTTCTTTTTCCCTTCTCATCTCCAATAACCTTCCCAATCCTCCTCCTCTATTTCCCTAGCTCCTCCCTCCCAAACTCCCTCTTCTCATCTCTCCACTTCCCTTCTCTTCCCCTTTTAGGTGACACCAGGCGGCACCCTTCTGTGTTGTGGTGTTGCTCCCTCCCTCTCTCCCTTCCCAACTTTCCTTCTGTTTTATACCCTCTCTTTTATTTTCTCCTATCCCCTTCTTCCTCCTCTTCTTTCTTATTTCCTCTCCCTCTTTTTCCTTCCTCCATCTTCCTTTTCTTCCCTTCCGATCTTTTTTCTTCCTCCCCTACCCTTTCATTCATGCTCTTCTTTCACCTACCTTTCTCGTTCCTCCTTCCATCTACCTCCTTTCCTTCCCCTCTCTTGTCATCCATCCCTCTTTATCTCTCTTACCCCTTTCTTTTCCCCTCTCCTTCCTTCCTTCATTTATTTCTCTTCCCCTCTCCCTACGTCTGCCTCCTCCCCCCTCCTTCAGGTGACACCAGGGCGGCGGTCCTCTGTGGTGTGGTAGTGTGAGGGCGGCTGTGGTGGGGGAGGACAGCCATCTGGCCAACTTCACTCCACCACCACATCCACACTCACTTTCCCCTCCCCACCAACACCTCCCCACACATACTTCCTCCCCACCATCCCTCCTCCCACCCCCTGGCTCTCAGCACGCCACCAAACACAGTTACGAAATGTGAAACGAAATTCTTCTGTTTTTTTTTGTGTGTGATCGTAAATATTGTCGTCCCAGCCCATGGTAGTGTGTTTGTGACTGGTGGTGTAGGCTTTTAGAGGTGTTTGTTTGTTTGTTATTCGTTTTTGTGCTTGTTATATACTTTCTGTCTGTTTGTCTCTCTCTCTCTCTCTTTCTTTCCTCATCTTCCTGCAGTTAAGTCCTTTTCAATGTCAATATCGGTGTTGTCAGTCCGTAGAATTGTGAAGATTACTGGACTGTGTATGCGTCTGAGTGTTACACGCATACTGTAAGATGGTAGGAGTTAACACTACACTTGATATTATTATAAGGATGATAAATTGTATAAGAGTTAAAAGTTTGTAATAAAGGGAAGGTGCTTATTGATTTTTCTTCTGAGATCAAGTTAGACGTATGGATGAAATTGGTACCTGTATTTCTGTTAACCTGTACCTGTATCTGTAATTTTACCTGTATCCGCATTGTTGTTATAGTAGTTTACAAAGTTGATTGATATGAAACTATTATGTAAAGTGGGTGTTTGTGTCCAAGGTCCACACAGCTCCTTATGGAATCATCAGGCGTATGGGACCTACTTTCACCTCTCATCGACTTACCTGTACAAAAACAGGTTCAGGTGTACCAAAACAGGTTTACGTATAAAATCTAGGTTTAGGTCCGGGTACTTCTGCAGGGTACAAGTTTATGTTTAGGTACAAATACAGGTACTAATTTTAGGGTACAGGTAATTGTTTAGGTACAGGTTGTGGGGGGGGGGGATAATGCTTGAGTGTATCATTGAGTGTGTATGTTTTTCATTATACTCGCTATTGCTTGTGAAGTGCGTGTGTGTCAAAATGCTCCCAGAAATTTTTTTATAAGGATTGTTAATGTATAATACTTGTTTTGAAATATATCTCATTGTATATTTAAAAATGCTTACCGTATTTTCTTTATAATGCTTTTCCAATAAAGGTAATTAATGCTTTAAAAAATTAATCGTTTACATGTTTATAATACTCGTGGGATTACATCATTATGCTTCATTTTTGCAACAGTGTTTCGTTAGTCTTATGTTTATTTATAATACTCACGAGTGTTTCAGAATGTATCGAGGACTATTAATTATGCTTCATTCTTATGTGCCTTTAAATCTTTTAGCACTGATTGCCACACTCCACTATAAGTCTTGGTCAGTTTCAACAGTTTTTAAGACTTGTTTTAGGAGTGTCTTGTTAGTATTATTATTTTGTATTGTAATTTAGTAGTTCGACTCTAATAAGACTTGGTCATTATGTAGTGAGACTTGACGTAATGATTTGAAAATATATAAGACTTAAACAGAAAGACTTTTAAGTAGTAAGCACTGGACATAAAGACTTAAGCAATTAGACTTGGTGGAGAGACTTATGTAACCAGTAAAGCCAGACATAAGGACTTGAAGTTATAAAAGACTTCTATACTCAGACTTAGGAGAAAAAGTGAAGTTTAATATTAAGATTTTTTTATAAGATAATTTGATATTTATAGATTTATCATTATTATTGCTCTTATCGTTATTTTTTTCTTTTATCAATATTGTTTTATTATTAGTATTATATTTATTTAGAACAATGGGAACAACATTACAAAGACTATGTCAAATAAAACCTTTATTACACTTTGTACTATTTTAAATCACTGGAATGACTAAATCTAAATATATCACAGAATTTTTTATCATATAAATGTCCATATTGGATAACACATAGATAACAATATATTTCGTCTCTTGTCGTGAGTGGACCTCGTCGTGTGAGTCAGTGTTTTGTACTATGGGTGAGAGGTCGCGTCAGGCCCGGCGATCACAGCTAAAACTTCTCCTTCTTATTGTTGTTACCTGACCGCCGGTGTTGTCGTCTGTGTCCGAGACAATAATTCTCTATGGTTGAATGTGTCGTTTCATGTCTTGACTTGTTGTACTAGGATTAAAACTGTCGTTCTGAGGCAACAGATGCCAATGTTTGTAACTTGATACAGCGTCATGGTGACTCTGGTGTTGTGGCTGGTACAGGTGCTGCTGACCCGTGGCTCAAGCTTTGTGGGTCCTTGTGACACAGTACCAGCCAGGGGAGTCCTTCCCGCAGCTTACCAGGGGCGCCAACAGCATTCATCCTCAGGGTTGCGGATGGGGGCGAGGTCTAATGGCTGGGGAGACGGGCTCCTGCAGGGGGACGGTGGAGGGGATGACGCCAAGGAGAGGGAAGGAGACGCAGCACTTGGTGGAGGTGAAGGAGGGGCGTGGTGCAGCTCTCCTGAAGGACTGGCTATCGTCCCCGTGACGCCGTGAGGAAGGACGAAAGCCATCTGGCCAGTCAGGAGACGAGTGGGGACTAGGGACACTCCTCGGACAACCAAAGGATCGATGGGAGCTGGGTGAGGGGCGTGATGAGGTTCGCTGCTGCTCGACACGTCTGAGGTTTGGGACTTGGTGTTGCGTAGACTTGCCATGGCGTCTGCTAGGTGTAGGAGTATACGGGATCGCTGACCTCCACTTAGTGTAGTGTCCTGCTCCAAGAACTTGCCAACCTCTGCCGCGCATTGACCGAAGCCTGCACGAAACTTGGCTGCGGCGTCGACGGGGGGCTGACGGGAGAGGGCCGACTCGTGGCGGTGGAGATGCTGCACGTGTCGCACCGTCATCTCCAGGATGTCCGCCTTCTCCAGCTTGTTGTAGCGAGACGGCTGTAACGAGAGGACGCACACATTAGTATTCTGACTCGGGTGATTCCTAATACAATTTACTGAAACTACAGATGTCGATATCAAATAACATGAAGGATACTTTTAGCTCACTGGTGGTAAATCAGAAAAAAAAACTTTATGTAAATCATAAACACAGGCATAACAGCAAAGTGGAGTAAATAAAAATATTTCGTTACTTTACAAGACTGTGCGAGTGTTGGTAACAAGCTATTCCGTTGTAAGTATAATGAAGACCGAAGAATTGAATCTCAAAAAAAAAAATCTTGACAGTTGTATCACTGAACCTGTCGCGGCCTTCACAACATGTGTACGTTAGGTGTGAAAGATCCGGGCGTTTGATTTTTGTTGTCATTAATACTAAGAATTTTTGTATTAATTATTCCTCAAAACTCTACCACCTACCAATTGGACTCAAGTCTCTAGTTAGGAGTGTGGTGATATTTTTTTCTTAAATGATCATATATCACTACTGCACAGGTTTAACCTCTCAGTTATATATTAGATTCGAGAAAGTAGACATACTGTAGCTATTTTGTCACTTGTGTAACTAAACCAACGCTCTCGCTTTTCTCTGTTTATGTTTTGTCTGCCCCTGTAGTATTCACTTAGACCTGCTTAAGGTGTAGTTTGCTAAACACTGTCTCAAGTACTTACGTCTTTCTTTAGTCCTTCCAGCACCAGGTTCTTCAGTTGATTAAGACAGTCGTTTATTCTCTGTCGTCTTTTCTTCTCCATGATGGGTTTGTTGGTTCGTCGTCGCTCTGCCGCAGCGGCCTTGGCCTCCACGCCCTGCTTGGCTGTCGTGCTTGACGGCATCCTCACTCACTACAACTGTTCGCTCACACTATCTTTCAGGCTCGCTACCTTCAACAATCTTCTGGCTACTGACGAGACTTTGGAAACCTCTTGAATTTATAAGATTGGTGCGGTAGTGAGCTAGCATCTTAACCAATGGGAGGGTATTGTCCGTCGACGTCACGGAGACGTTGTCCAATAGGAGCGGTAGGATACCTTGACGTAGGCGGCGTGTGGCTCATGTGGGAGGAGCCACACTCATGAGGGTTGTCTACGGACCTGTCGCCCGCCCGCCACGTGCTCTGCCATATACGTTCAAAAATATACACATATCTAAGAGATACTTCAGAAAGGGAGACAAATAATGAGACGTTGTTTCTGAAGCACAGATGTGTATTATGAATCGAATATGAAACTGTCAGATACTTCATCCACGCCACCAAGAAATATTATTCCAAAACTTATCTGAACTTAGTCATATTGTCATCACAGGTTTTCATAACATTGGTGTAGTAACGATGAGGTGCTGAGGTGAACGTCCCCCGAGCCTTGTACTGCGGAGGATGGTTGGTCCTGCCCACCACATCAACCACCTTACCCTTGAGGTCTGGCTGGGGTGGGCGTGGGAGGAGACTCCTTAGAAAACAGTCCCTGGGATGGAGTATGAGTGTGGGGAAGTACTTGGGGACAAGAGGAGGCACGGGGATGGGATGAGAGTGGAAGAAAGTCCCTGGATTGGGACAGCAGTTTGTGGGGCTTCCTGGACCAGAGTGAGAGTGACAGAAGGTTCCTGTAGAGGGGAAGGAGAAGGACTTGCCGGGAGAGAGTTAGAAGATATGTTTGTCTTGCCTGGCAATGAGAAGAAGTTTTTGAGATGGGATGGAAACGGAAACATAACCCCCAGAACGGGATAGGAATGGGAAAGAAGTCCCTAGGTGTGAGATGAGGGAGGTAGGGAAGAAAGTGTCTTTGACGGAGA